AACTCCAAAGTTTTTCTGTTTCAACTTAGGTTCTATGAAATTGACTCTCAAACTTTGAATCACAAACTGTAAAATGTTCTGCTATATAGAGAATTTTGTTAAGTCGATTTCCGTCGGAGCTAGCAAGATATGTGGATCTGCAGCATGGTGTTGTTTCTGTTGTTCTCATGACTAATACCTATTCTATAACTTGTCTCATGCTAGAATTTTGAAGAATGTTAAATGATATTGTTGTTGCTCTATTGCTGGTCCTAATTCGTGTCGACGATTTGATATTGCGATAATGTTTTGAGTGAGATTTTGGGTACATTGTGTTTTGGTTCTGCTTTGCGTATTATCTTTGATATTGTTCGCATTGTTACAAATATCGTTTTTGTATGAGAGCGTTTTGCGTATTAATCTTGATTTGCTCACATTGTTACGAATTTGGTTTCGTATGTGAGCTTTGTGATGTTCTGCATGTTTGCTGTTAATGCGTTCATGCTTTCTTTGGGTTGATAAATATTCTGTGATTGATTTTATGTTATATATAGATAAGTTTATTTGCAATTTGTGCAGTTAATTAAAGTTTAATTAAATGTATCAATATGTTACTGCTAATACGTTGCTGCAGTTTTTTTTTTCATTCATAATAGTTTTTAATTTCGGATTGTGTAAGATAAGGATGTGATGCAAGGTGGTTGTTGTTGCTGTACATGCTCTTTTTTATTTATGCAAGCACATGTAAATATTTTTTCTTTTTTACTTTCTGAAAGTAACGTAGCATAAAGGGGGAACATATAATGGTTTCAATTGTTCTTTTGATATTTCTTTCTTTATGATTACCATATGTCAATCTTTAAGTGGAGTTGACTTTTCAAAATTAAAAAATCTCATGAAGAACACATTGCTTCATTTTTCTTTTCCACTTATTCCTGTTACATGTTACTGCAATACTTCATGTTTCTTTCTCTTGTCTATATGCTTTTAATTTCATTTAGTTTAATATATAATGTTATGTTTACTATTTAATATTTTATTATATCAAGTTTCTATGCTTCATGTTTCTTTCTCTTTTCTATATGCTATTGTTCAGGTAGTGTTCATTGTTTCCATGTTTCTTTTAATTTGTGTTGGTCTCTAGATTGCAAATACTTTTTTCCTCCTCTTACTAGAAGTTTGAAGTTATCTTCATTCTATTGTGCATATGCAGTATTTGGTTTCAACGTTGCTGTAGCTTTCCACTTTTATTTCCATTGCTCTCTTTTAGTTACAAGTGCAAGTTGCATATAAATTTGCACAGAGCACTCAAATTCTCAGAAACCACCTTTATTGTATTAAACATATCAATTTTTACCATATATCATAATAAGAGTATTTATTTGGTCTATTATACACTATTTCCCTATAGTAATATATAATTTATTTTATTTTAGAATACTAAACATGATAAAGAAGGATTGGGTGGAGTTGCCTCCACACAGTCAAGATTATAAGGATGGTATCAATTACTTTTTGGATATCACGTTTACTAAAGGAATGGTTGAAGAAGAAGAGATTTTGTGTCCTTGTGCTGTATGTTGTAATGATAGTTGGGAAGTAAGAGATGTAGTGTATGACCATTTATGTAGCAAAGGATTTGTAAAGGGATACACTGAATGGATTTATCATGGTGAAGATAAAAGCCTTATGGATCTTGATGACGATAGTGATAATGAAACATCATCTCATGATGATATCGATGGCTTGCTATTTGAGACATTTAAAGATGTGGCTAAAGGAGGTGGAGTACATGAAGGTCTAAATGAAGATGCAAAGAAATTTTATAAACTAGTTGATGATGCAAAGCAAGAGTTGTATCCAGGTTGTGAAAAGTTTTCCTCGTTATCATTCACTATTCGAATTTATTTGTTGAAATGTCTCCATGGATGGAGCAATGCATCGTTCACTGCTCTCTTAGAGTTGTTGAAAGAGGCTATGCCTGATTTGAACATCCCTGTTTCTTTCAATAAAACAAAATCTATGATTAAAGATTTGGGATTAGACTATAAAAAGATTGATGCATGTCCCAACAATTGCATGTTATTTTGGAAAGATCATGGGAAAGATGATTCATGTCATATTTGTGGAGCATCAAGGTGGATTGAATATCCTGAAGTTGCTAATGATCTTGAAGAATCTATAAAAGCTCACAAGGTTTCTGCCAAAGTTCTAAGACATTTTCCTTTGATTCCAAGATTGAAAAGACTTTTTATGTGTTCAAAGACAGCCGACACATTGAGGTGGCATGCAGACCATCGTTCAAGGGATGGGAAGTTAAGGCATCCGGCTGATGCCCAAGCATGGAAAGACTTTGATGCCAAACATTCAGATTTTTCTCTTGAAACTCGTAACATTAGACTTGGGTTGGCAAGTGACGGGTTTAATCCATTTAGGACTATGAGTTTGTCACATAGCACATGGCCTGTTGTATTAACAATATATAACTATCCGCCAAATTTGTGCATGAAGGCTGAAAATTGTTTAATGTCGTTACTTATTCCTGGACCAAAGTCACCCGAAAATGAAATTGATGTGTATTTGCAGCCACTTATTGAGGAGCTTAAGATATTGTGGGATGTCGGTGTAGAGACATATGATATATCAAAAAATCAATCATTTCAAATGCGTGTAGCTCTTATGTGGACTGTGAATGACTTCCCTGCATATGCTATGTTATCCGGTTGGAGCACTAAAGGGAAGTTTGCTTGCCCTGCTTGTAATCATAAAACTTCTTCAATATACTTAAAACATAGTCGAAAAATGTGTTATATGGGTCATCGAGTCTTTTTGGATTCAAATCATAGCTGGAGATCAAATTCAAGTTCTTTTGATGGAAAGCCAGAATACAGGTATGCACCCTCCTTGTTAGATTCAACAATGATTTTAAAAGACTTAGAAAAGATCCCTGACGTAGTGGGGCAAAAATACCAGAAAAAAAGGCCTGGTCCATGGAAGAAAAAGTCTATATTTTGGCAATTACCATATTGGAAGGATAATTCTTTGCGACATAACGTAGATGTTATGCATGCAGAAAAAACATTTGTTATAATATAATGGGGACTCTCTTGGAGATTGAAGGGAAGAAAAAGGATCATGCAAAAGCTCGTTTAGACCTACAACACATGGGGATTAGAAAAAAACTCCATTTGAAGGCAACGAGTGATGGTAAGAAAACCCAAATCCCTAAGGCATGTTTCTCCCTAACAAAGCAAGAGAAATCTATTTTTTGTAATGTTTTAAAGACAGTAAAACTTCCTGATGGCCTTGCATCTAATATTTCTCGATGTGTTCAAGTTAATGAAGGAAAAGTTTCTGGATACAAGAGTCATGATGCTCATATTATATTGCATTACTTGTTGCAAGTAGCAATAAAAGGGATATCCCCTAATCAAGTTGTTATCCCTTTGCTCCGACTTTGTTCATTTTTTCGGTGTTTATGCCAGAAGGTTATAGATGTAAAAACTTTAGATTACTTGGAAGTTGAAATTGCTGAAACACTTTGCCAATTCGAGCGTATCTTCCCTCCAAGTTTCTTTGACATAATGGTTCACTTGCCAATTCACCTTGCAAATGAAGTCAGATTAGGTGGACCGGTTCAATTTCGATGGATGTATTATATAGAAAGATATTTGGGTGATTTAAAATCTTTTGTTCGTAATAGGAGTCGTCTAGAGGGTTCTATCGCTGAAGCATACTTGGTTAAAGAATATCTAACATTTTGTTCAAGATATTTGTCTAGTGCTGTAGACACAAGGATGAATAGAATGACACGAAATAGCGATGATACTCCAAGCATAGGTCATCCAATTGGGGGAAAGAAATTGATTTCCCTTGATAATAAGTCTCTAAACCAAGCTCACGGGTACATTTTATTCAATTGTGATGAAGTGCAAGAATACATTAGGTATAATCATCTATGTGATACAACATTTCATTTTGCAATAAGTTTTCTTTTTCTTTTGTATTGAAAAATTAGTTATTTATTTTGTAGAGAGCATGAGGTTAATGTTCATAATCTTAAAAAAAAAGGAAGCTCAGAAATGCTAACAATCAAAGAGAAGATTTTATTCAATGGTTTGAAACACGTGTCATAGGAGAGGAAGTTACCGAATGGTTGAAGGTGTTGTCTAGGGGACCAAATGATGTTGTTAGAAGGTATTCTGGTTATGTTATTAATGGATACAGGTTTCATACAACAAACCGCGAAGCAAGGCTTAAAACACAAAATAGTGGTGTGACATTAGAAGCCGTGACTCAAGTTATTAGAAATGCAAAGGATGAAAATCCCAAAAAGATTTGTGTGACTTACTATGGGGCAGTAAAAGATATTATAGAGTTAGATTATTATGGTCATGAAAAATATGTATTGTTCAAATGTGATTGGTTTGTGGATGAAAAGGATAAATATGGATCGCCGTTCGTTTACTTCAACAAAAAATGCTACAAAAATGATCCATTTGTGTTGGCATCTCAAGTTCAACAGTGCTTCTTTATTGAAGATCCTTTAAACAAGAACATACACTATGTTCTAAATGCACTTCCAAGGGAAACATTTGACATGGGAGAATGTTTGGGTTCAGATGCTCAAGAATATGATATTTCAATAAATCTTGATACATTAAAGGATGATTGTGAAGTGGATTTGGTTAGGAAAGACGTTCTGGATGATATCTTTGAAATTCCTTTGTCAGAACTTCACAACCAAAAATCAATAGAGAGTGATCATAGTGACACAAGTTATGAAAGTGATGATGAAATCGATTATGATTCTAGTACTGATTAGGTAATGTTCACAATGTGTTCTACCATTTTGTTGATGAATATTGTTTATTATGTCTTTCTATGGTCTTAGTTTATATCATAGTTTACAAATATTTGTACTGAGATATGCCCTTTTGTTAATAGATTGTGTTTGAACATTAATTGTGTTGTATAATTATGTAATTTTCCCCCTTTGTAGTTCATAGTTGCTGGTCATAATGGACAATGTAAGAAGTGTAAAAGATGGTGTATCGCATAGGAAGAGTGGTCGAAGTCTAACTAAAAGATTTGATTTTCCTCTTCTAGCAAGATCAAGTGCAGAATTGAAAAAGAAAGTACTAAAGCAAGTTAAGAAGAAAAAAATTGACAAGTTGCATGAGATGCTGCAGGGAAACAATAGTGAAAGGGTCCAGGAAGTTGTAGAAGTTATGGATGGTAAATCATTTTCTTGTTTCATAAGATTTTATAGAATTACATATGTAAAATTTATATTTTGGATTTCCTTTAGATATATTATTCCTAATGTTTTTTTTTAATGAATTTTTACAAAAACTAGAAACGCCAAAAAAAGGAACTCAACAAGAAAGAGATCAAAAGATTGATCGCAATTTTGACAAAGAGACTGTTATAAAGAAAATGGAGAGAGACAAACTATCGCAACCAAAAGTAATGAAAGATCATGCACATGGTGACAAAGAAGTTGTACAAGGTAAGTAATTATTTATTATGTATATATTACGTTAAATTATTTCAAATATATTTTGATGAATTTTAACTAAAATTAGAAACACCAAAGAAAAGAACTCATGAAAAAGATACAATAAATAGAGAAAAAGTTCAAAAGGTTGATGGCAAATTGGACAACCACATTGTTATAAAGAAAACAGAGAGACCTAAGCTTTTGCAACCACAAGCTAAGGAAGTTTTTACACATGGAAACAAAGAAGTTTCACAAGGTAATTAATATCTTTAGATATACATTAAATTTATATATTCTTTTTATGACATTATTTTGATGAGCAAATTATATTGAAATCAGGAATGCTGAAAAAATGAACTCATGAGAATCTACTAGAGAATAATAGAGACAAAATTCAGAAGGTGGAAAAAACAGTTGCAAGAAAAATACTTATTCCTTCCAAAAATAAGAAACTAGAGAAATCTAATCTATCTTTGGAGACAGTGATGTCAAAAACTGAATACTCTAAAAAGGAAAAGAGAGTGCCAAAATGCCCATCAATGTTGATTGATGATTATGTAGAACTTCACAAGTCAAAGAAAATGGATGCAACCAAGTCAAACAATGGAGAAAAACCGGGATGCAACGTTAACCCAATCTCTAGTCAAAATCAACCAAAAAAAGGAACTCATCAAGAAAGTGTTCAAAATTGGGCAGAAGTCAATGAAGAAGGTAATTAGTTTCGTATTTCATAGTAATTATTTCATACATTATTTACATATTGGTAGCAAACATGTGATATCATGTTGTTGTGTTGATTACTTTATAGGAACATCCCAAAGAAAAACTCGTGGGAAAACTTTGTGCAAAAAGATTCATGCAAGAACTTTGGAAGAACGAGCATAAGTAACCTTTAATGAGGATGGTCAACCAATTGGTCCTAATGATAAAGTAGTATCTGATTTGAGCCTCTTCTTGGGAACATTGGCTAGGAACTCAACATTTTGTCCTCTACGTTACACCAATTGGTCAGGAATGCCAGATGATAATAAAAAACGTTTCTGGAGATATACTAATGTATGTGTATATATATGAATATGAATGTCTAATTGTTCAAAAAAATGTTTTATTTTTTGATATTGTTTTATCTTATAAATTTTGTAGCGGAAGTTTATCTTGCCGGTTGAAGCACAAGATTGGGTTGAGACCACAGTTAGAGATGCATGGAGAAGATATAAGCACAAAATTAAGAAGAATCATTTTTTGAAGTATTCGAACATGACTGAGAGACTAAAAAATCGTCCACTAAAGGTGCCCATAGCTCAGTTTAAAAGTCTTTGTGATTATTGGAGTAAGGAAGCTATACAAGTAAGATTAATAATTTTTTTATGTATGTGTGATTTTTCACCTTTCTATGTATGCCATAATCAAGTAAGATTTATTAAAATAATTTCGTCAAATTTAAATGTAGGTAATCAGTGAAACTAACACTAGAAATAAGCTCAACTAAAGTGGATGCATCGAATGGGTCCCAAAAACTTTGCTTTAACTCGTGAAAAAATGGTAAGTTTTCTTTACAATAAAGTATTCCTTGTATGAATGATTGTTTGCTCAATTAAAGTATTCCTTGGATGAATGGTTCTCTGAGAATTTTAATTTATGTCTTGTTTCTGTAATAGGATATTTAATCCGCTGGTTGTTTAGTTATGGAATTACTTTAATTTCTGCAGCGTGAAAAGGAAAAAAGAGAGCCCACTCAATCGGAAATGTTTGTTGAAACTCGAAAAGGAAGTAAAGGAAAGGAGCTGGATGTAGAAACTGGAAAAGTAATTGTATGTAACATTGTTTATATAGTATGTTTACTTAATATAGTTGGCTTATATTGTTTATAATAGTAGTTAATATTTTCTTGCAATTTATGCTAGTCTCAACTTCAAGAAATGGTTGAAAAGGAAGAAAGTGATACGGAAGCTTTTAAATCTGTTTTTGGAAAGGAGCGTCCCGGTAGGGTACGTTGTTATGGGAGAAACATAACTAAAACTTCCTTAAAGCGAAAGGAGGAGATTAATGCTTTGAAACAAGCACATAATGAAGAGGTCTCTAGTTTAAGGCATGAGTTTCAAGATCAGATTGATAGATTACAAAACGCTTTTAAGACCGTAATACAACAATGCAATCCTCAAATTAATTTGGAGTCAATAGAAGATTTGTTAGGATTATCTCATAGAGATGCTAACAGTTCCCCAAAGGAAATGAGACCGCAAATTCATTCCTCTACATCAACTCATGCTCCATGTCATGGAAAGGTAACCATATATACCAATATTATTGATTTATGTTATTTTAATTGTGTTATACTATATAAGTTCTATGGTTTAATAGTATCAAAAATATTATATAAAATTCTTTTTTATAAGTAAAATATTATATAAATCCTGTTGTTTAAAAATTAATTGTTGAAATTCAATATGCACCCTGAACTATGAACTGAACACCATGAACTGAACACCATGAACTAAAATGTTATATAAATCCTGTATCTCATTTTTTGCAGTACTGCACCATGAACTGAACACCATGAAATTGCTTAAAATACCATTACAACAATGCAGAATTTTCTATGGATGTTAATATTAGCATTTGTGGATGAAAAATTATGAGAAACACTAGTTAATTTTATACTAGTTATATAAAATTCTGCATTGATGAAATTCTGCATTTGTGGATGAAATTATGAGAAACACTAGTTAATTTTATACTAGTTATATAAAATTGGTGTACTTTCAGGTGTACTTTTTTATTATATACTAGTTCTGGTGTACTTTCTTATAATAATTTTCATTTAAATATATAAAATTGTCATAGTCTTTATAGATAGTGAATTGTATAAAATTATTTTCATGAATTGTATAATTTCCATGAATTGTATAATTTCCTTCTATCTCTAAAATTCTCATTTACTGATATATTAAGACACAAGCCATATTCAATCTTACAAAAATAAATATGATGTATTTTATTTTATTTTCTTATGTAGCAAGGTATTAATGAAGATGTTGAAAAGGACGATATAAATGATGAAATATTTCAAGAGGACGACGTGGATGATGGATTCCAAGAGGATGTTGCAGGTGATGAATTTCAAGAGGACGACATAGATGTAGATGATGAATTTCAAGAGGACGATATAGATAGTGAATTTCAAGAGGACGAGGTAGATGAAGAATTTCTTGAGGACGACATATGTGATGAATTTCAAGAAGACGATATGGATGATGAATTTCAAGAAGACAAACTTGAATGAGTTGGATGATGTCTTTTTTTTTGCTTGTAGTTGAAAACATTAAACTTGAACTATATGTTTTTTGTTATTTTGCTTCGGTCATACTTCAAAGTATTAAACTTAATTATTATTATAAGTAATGTTACGTTAGGCATTTTGTTTACTAATAACTACTATCTTAAATTAATGTTTGAACTCAATTTTATTATATTATAACATTTGTGGATGGTTAAATTTGGTCTTGTTTAATTTATAATTGATATTTTTTTGAAGCCAATCATCATCGACTAAATTATTTAAAAAATAATTATAAAATGTATATTTTATGGGGACTGTAAAAACAATCCTCCTTATTTTATTGGGACATTTTAAAAATAATCCTTCTGATTCAGATTTAAGGAAACACTTATTAATTGTAGCCTCATTTGGCAACACTTAAAAAGCATCACCTAAGAGGCCACAAATAATCGTCCCCTATTCCTTTTGTAGCAACACTTAAAAAGTGTCGCCTCAGAGGACACGAATAACTGTCCCCTATTCCTTTTGTGGAAACACTTAAAAAACGTTGCCTTAGAGGCCACAAATAATCGTCCCCTATTCCTTTTGTTTAGGCAACGTTTTTAAAAATCGTGCCCAAAGATCATGAAAAAACGTCCCCTAAGACAATAGGCAACGCTCGCACAGGAGACGCCTAGAAAACGTCCCCTATTCTTTTAGGCAACATTTTTCAGAGTTTTGGCAACATTTTTGAATGGTTGCTGGAGAGCCTAAATGTTGTAGTGATGTTAACACTTAAGAACAAAGAAGAAGTCAAAAAAGTGGAACTGGAACTCAAGTTTGCAATTCATATATACAAAGGGTGCCATGTATAACAAATATAATCTAGTAAAAGATCCAAGATCATATCCAACAGTCAAGATGAAATCTCAAATCCATATTTGCACTTGAGTACACCTATATGTGTCACCTCCATACCCTATACGCGTGAGTGTACATGAAAGCCTCTGCCAAATAAACTTTTTGTTTGCATAAGAAGTATTAAATATGCATGTTCCCGATTCCAAATACTTATAATTAGTGTCACAACAATACTCTCTCTTCCTGGAGACACATTCTCAATGGATAAACTTCCTCAACAAAACTTATCATTAGATTGTTCTTAATGACTTCTACGTCGACATTCTTCATTTTGTATCTTATAGAAAGGAATTGAAAGGGAAACAATTTTGGGCTAAACAAAGGCTTAATAAGACCATCCCAAGCCAGCCAAGGCGCCTCACTGACTGGCGTACGTGTAGACCTCTATTTTTAAGCCAAATGCAAACAGTAAGTCTTATAGGACAAGAAAGGGTTAGTCACAATTCATGAAGAAGTATTGTCTTTTAAATTGTGTGAATTATTATGAGTTACACTTGAATATTTTCAGTTCGTTTATGTTGGAATCATACTTTATGTGAAATAAATATAGTTTTCTCCACGCAAGGACACTTGTGCACTTGCGTGGACCAATCAAGTTATGCATTTAGGGAATACAACAACAAATGATTTTTTTTGTAATATATAGTTATGGATGCAATTAAGAGTGTTTATTTTAATTTATGCTTTTAATTGATTTTGTTGACCAAGTAACTTTAAACACAATAGAGGGTGAATTATGATATTTGAAATTCTCAAAAAATGGTTTATAAAAAACTATTTAATTAAAAATGATTTAAGATAGAAAAAAAGAGATGGAGCAACAGAATAATAAAGAAGTGAAATAAAATAAACAAAAGAAATTAAAAGAGATACGGGATAAAAATATCACACTAGAGAATTATCCTAGTTCAACCTAACCATTTGACCTGTGTTGCACCCTAAAATTTGCTCAACCTACTTCACTTGGTTTATGTTTCAATTGCATTGGCATGTGCATATTAGGTCATGTACATAATTCAATCATCTGCATAGCATAGCATAGCATAGCAAATCATCCAACAAGGGACCAAGTACTATTCTTATCTCTATGAGCCTATCAAGAGGTTCTTATTCAAATTCAAGCACATCCAAGTCATCAGAAAGAAATTGAAATCTGAGAGGTCAGTGGATCAAGCAGTGGATCTCTCTCCTATCTTGAGTGTATTTGAAGATCATCAAAGGAGTTGTGAGCTGTGAATTGAGCATGGAGGACATATAGGGCCATTTTGAAAGTGAGACAAGTCATTGATATGATTACAAGAGCTGCAGTGGAAGACAGTCAACTAGGGTTTCATCTGGGTCAACCCTAGGTCAAATGCTTGATTGAAGGGCATCAAGGCCTGTTTGAAAGATGTGGGATGCCTCATTTGACATGTAGATAGAGATGTGGTGTTGTGCCAAGGAGAAATCAAGAGGAATCAAGAAGAAGAGGAGTTTCTAAATTAGGGTTTCTGTGTAAAATCCCCTGATTTAGGTCAAACTTCCAAGCAAGATAATTCAAAATTCAAGTTTCAAATGGATCCTTGGCCAACATGAAACTTGTAGAGGATCTCAAGACCTTTAATTTGAGTGGTGGAAGACATCAAGGAGATTTATAGAACTCAAGTTATGGTTCTTGCAAGTTACAGGTCATCTGAGGCATCTGAAATTTTGTCTGTGAAAGTTACTTGTCTTCCAAGCAACTTTTACCCCTAAAGGAGCTTTCAAATGGATTTCTGGTAAACATGAAAGTTGTTCCTCATGATCTTATCTTTCTAGAAAGGTATGGTATGCCTTCATCTGATTTGTAGAACTCTACTTATGACCTTGGCAAGCAAAGGGTATTTTGGTCATTTGAGAATTACAGGTCATTTCAAGCATATGCCTAAAACTCATACAAGGAAGCTTCAAATGAAAAACTTCACAACATCAAAGTTGCTCCAAATGACATTTTGAGTCTATAAAAGTGGTCATGGGAGTTGTAAAATGCTCATAGATCAAGATTGCAAATTTGGTTAATTAAAAGGTGAATTTAATGAATAAAAGTGACCTAAAAATGAGATTTTTCATAACATGTCCAAATGGGATGAAATTATAGGTCATTTTGATTGGAAAGAATGTTTTGAGACCATTGGCAATAGTGTATTTTTGAGTTTAGTTCAAAGTTTGAGAGATATCATGGCTTGCTTATGATTAAAGTGACATAAGCCAAATCACAAGGGATTGGTGTGCAAGAAGTTTCCAACAAGTTCTAGATGGTTCCATGAGCATCTATATAAACCCTAGAGCTG